CCCTTCCTCCCAGTTATCTCCAGAGGCAGGCAGCTTGCTTGCTGCGGCGACCTAGAGGATCCCCCTCCACGTCATATCTTTAGCAGCTTTCCGTAGAAACTACCACAACACGCCAACTCCGGGAAGAACAATCATCATCGTCATTGTTATTCTCCACATTATCTCCACAACTCCCCCCAAGCAATGCAAAAACAATGCATGAAAGAAGAAGAAGCACGTATAAAAACCTTGAATGAGTAGCCATTGAAGTACTCTTTTTAGTTTTCAAAGAACTAGAAAACTGCTTTGGTTTGATTCCATTTCTGCTTGGTTCTTCTCTCTATTTATAGCACCAATCGAAGTGGAATATCGATTATTTTGATTTTAAAAAAATATTATTAGTTCAATAGTCAGACCAGTGTTGGTCCATATACATTTAGACTTATGTGTTTCCAAGGTACGTGACCTATTAGGAGCGAAATATTTTATTGAGAAGTGAGAAAAGCGTTCTAATTTAAGTCAATGCAAAAGTTCTACAAAGTCAACTGATTGGGTAGACAACCACACTAAAAGACACATGTTTTTTTTTTGTAACGATATATAATGTGTATTTACAAATAATTTGAAATAACCAAATTGTCATGTACTTCACTTATACTATATGTTATCGCTAAACATTTGAAATTGTAGTAACTTTTTTGCATTTATCATTCGCAAATTTACGCTAGAACTTTCCTGCCAATGATACCTTTGAATTAGTCATCAACTAGTAACTCGTACTAATGCTCATATACGTATAGTTAAGAAATTGTCAACCGGGATCGGTGAGTTATCACTAATCAAAACGTCTAATTATTATATTATTTCACAGTGTTGGATCTGCCACTGTTTTCAGATAAAGCATTGAAATTTCTAGCCTCCTCAGGAAAGATAATTCCGTCGTATTATTATTTATAACTATTATTTTAGTATAGTTGATTGATTAATCATGCATATTACAATATACTAAATTCTAAATATTATGATGACTAAATATTAGTATATATAAATAAGTATATATAGTTTTTGTTATGATGGTGGAGCAGGTGCTGTAGAACGTATTAGTTTTCTAAAATGTGTAAATATCTAGTAGCTCTAATACTTATTTTAGCTGTAAATGCACATTGTAGCGTTTAAGTTTCTGCACATTTTTTTTTTTTGAGTTATAAGATATAGTTTGAATTTTCAAACACGAGAAAAAAAAATGTTACCTTCGTCATAAAGGAACACAAAGCAACAGATCTCATTAACAAGCAAAAAACAGAAAAAAAAAAAAAAAAGACCATTAATTAACATATAGATTTGACTACAAATATACTATTAGTTGAATTTTTGTAAGTCTAGTTTTTGCCATTTAGGTTGGAGACACACTTTTGATCATAATATGCGTTTAAGTCCTAAATTTTGGTAATGAGCTAGCGATTATACCTCGATAAATAGATGAGCTATCAACATCTTTGATTTGATGTGATAAGATGATATGAAGATCTATGACCTATACATATATAATGTATATCTATCATAAGAAATAATTAAGTCACATCCCGTGTGACTTAGAGAAACCCATGGGACACATGGATTTGGTGTTCGATATTTGTAGATGTATAGGTGTAGTTAGTAACTTCGTATGTGGCCTCCTAAAGAAAATTCAAAGATACTTGACTACTTGAGTGCAAGTGACTTACCAAAATCTTATCCTCGTATATATGTAGGTGAAGATATATATTGGAATATAGTAAACACTAACTTAAGAATCGGATTAGAGTTTTGACATATAGCAAATATTGATGATGATTCGGATTAGAGTTTTAACCTTAAGTTCTACTTGCTCGAAAAAGATCTATTGTTATATGATCAAACAGATATTTGAGGAAAATTAATGGAAGGTGGAAGAAAAGGATAAAAGAGAAAGATATACGATTTCACGAAAAAGAAAGGAAGATAATTTTGTAGAATCTCAAATAACATTTATAAAGACCTTTCGAATTAGGTTTTGACAATTTTCTTTTGAACTCTACTTTATTCTAGAATAATCATCTTGTATCGGGTCTCGTGGGTATTACCACTCGATATGTATAGAGCGTAAAATTATGGTTTCTTTTCAATATATATAAAGCGTGGATTTTTTTTTTTGCTCAACTAACTAAGCTAACTTTTCCTGTTCTTTTCTTCTGCTAATCATAGTAATTATTTATTATTTCAATTCAATGAATAGTCATCAAGTCATATTGATGAATCCATTCCTCTCGTCAATAACCGGTAAATATCATATTTTTGAGGAAAATTAACAACTCCACTTAATTATACTTATATGACCCGATTCAAATTTTTGATTTTTTTTTTTATCATAATTACTAAGGTATATGATAGTTTTATTGATAGGTCGTTTGTGGCGATTGGTTAGAAACTCAAAAGAAATGACTCAAAAATTTGATAAGCTTCCCTTCAAAAAAAAAAAAAAAAAAAAAGCATTCTTAAAAATGTGGTGATGGATCGATTTGTATGTAAATAGTCCAATGTAAAACCTTGAAACGTTAAGGCGCTGGCCTGTTAATTAATGTGCTAACAATAATAGAGCACTGCAAAACAAATTAACATTTCTAAACATATAGCACATATAGCTTTGGATGAGTATGGATTACATTTTACAATCTTTAAAGATACGTATAAAGGATTTTGGAATTTAGCGTTGAAGAAAGTTGTAGATGGGAGAAGGTCTAGTCTTAGACTGGTACTCAATAGTTTTAGTGGAAGCAGCTTCAGAACTATGGAATAAAGTTTATACTATGTGTGAACGCACGACCAAGTAAGCAATGTTTTGTTTTACTGCGTTTTAGATCGTCCAGCGACTTGAGGTAAGTCAATTTTTCAATCCAAGTATTCTTGGTCTTACATTTTGGGGGCATTCAAAAAATTTCATTTAGTTAATGAAACTGGCCTATAGTCGCGACCGATCTTGACCCCTAAAATCAAGGCGGACCAATCTTGACGACCCCTAAGAAACGGACGGTAACATGTTATTGTAGTGCCTAATTTATCAAATTTTTGGTTAGAGTTTAGAAGTTTGGTCTAAAGTATAAATTTTATTTGGTAAACTAGGAGTTGGTCCGGGCTACGCCCGGATATTTAACATTAAAAATGATATTACAAACAGTAAAATAATAAAAAAAAAAAAGTTGCTTAATAAATCTTGATGCATCATAAATATTAATGTGCGACTATTGTTTTAAACAAAATTTAAAATTTGGTTTTAATTGAATTTGGTATATGATATTAAAAAGTATCATTAAATCGTTTATATACATATTCCTTTTTCAAGTAGAAAAATGTTTGACATTTTACATACGAATAAAAACAAAACTTATAAGCTGTGATCATAATTCATAACTTTGAGTTGCTCCAGCTAGATGCTTCACTCTTCCATGATTAATTACGTTGCTCCAGCTAGATGATTCACTCTTCACTCTTCCTAACACCACATCCAACCACTGCAAGGCTGCAACGTAACACTAAAAACATATCCCATATCTATCTATATATTAAAAGATAGTCTAAACACAACTAAGAAAAGCTCAAAGAATTTTGAAACAGTATAAATGTTGTAGTGATTAATCTAGGAAGCATAGGTATGACAGAAGATTGAACAACTTTCCATCTTCAGTTGTGATAGAATTAGAGAGAACATTTTGAGAAAAGAGAACAATCCTTCTTTTGGCAACAGACATGTCACATGTGCAGGTAGATGTACAGAAAACCATCTTCCTCTTTGTATCCCAAAGTTTTCAATGCTCTTATGCCTAATTAAGGTTGAAATCAAGCACACTCTTGTTTTTTATCCTCTTTGATCTTTGTAGAATCACAGGATCAATTCCCTAAAGTGAGATACAAAAGTGAACACCTTTCGCAAGGTGTCTCTAGTGGCCGTGATATGAGTTATAAACAGAGTTCTCACAACCTGGGTAATGAGAGACACAAAGTTCAACGTCGAAAAGTCATGTAAAAGTTCAAATAAGATATTTTCTTAGTGGTATCATCAGTCCGAGAGAAATAATTTTTTTTTTTTTTTAGAATTTAGAAATAAGCATTTTTATAGGTATTGATTTAGACTATCTTGAAAAATACTAACATTGGTTTGACAACGATGTAGCTCAATCTGCCAGTTCACATGATTGTGATCAAAACTCAAATGTATTAATCACAGAAATTTGCGAGACATTAGCAACCCCCGACAGAAGGAAAACCTCTAATTAAGACTAATAAAATATCATGTAGAAAGAACACAAATGATGTAGATAATCGAATATGGTCATGGTCATAACCAAAATTGGGAATACGTTGTAGAGGTACATGCAGCAACAACTAAATGTGCCTCACATGGTCTGGTGACCACCACGTTTTTTACTAATTTGTAAGGATAATATATATATATATATATATATATATATATATATATATATATATATATATATATCAGAATCAAGTGTATGCAACTACATCTTCTGGGGGTATTTTGATTCATGAATCATGATACAGCTTTCTACCAACCTAAAAAAAAGCGTAAAAGCTATAACAGAAAATAATGTTACTAACATAATATTTAGACCTTACTTGTTGGTACTCATGATCGAGTGTTTGGCGTAGCTTAAAAGGCTGCACTTGTATTGTTAACATAATGTGCTAAACACATAAAACAATTAACAAAGTCTATATGTCAATTCCAATGACATTGAAAGTAGAAATGGAAACATCGGAACCAATACAAAGGGATCTCACAATATTGATCTCTGGATTGCTGATCAACTACGCCTTGGAAGTTGGAACGGTAGAAGGATTTTGTCTTTTGTTTGTATGATCGACAACCATCTTCTACGTATGAAACACGACCAATCGGAACGAATTAAAAGAGATGTGTTATGAGGAGGTAGTGCCGTAGTGTCAACAATACTGTGAAACTGTTGTAGAGCAGATTTGAAGAAGTTTTGTAGATCTCGATCTGGAAACAGTATATTGGAGTAAAAAAAGGAGAGAAAGAGACGGTGTGAAGAAGGATCTAAGGAGGAAGTGAGGTTTAGAAGAGAAATTTAAGGAGGCAGGACCCAATTATGGCGTTGACGTTGGCGTAACTGATGAAGACGTGGGAGAGAATTGGAAGCATTAGAATATCTCGGAAGAAGAAAATGGAATTGACCTTTGCTTGATGCCACGTGGCTCCTAAAGGAGAGACTTTGAGAATCTTGTTGATGTGGCTTACTCTTAAGATGTTTTTATCATGCTGATATGGCTAGTTTTAGAAGCTTTAAATAGTTTCTTTTATTAGTAATAGATAGATTATACGTCAACTTTAACAAAAAGAAAAGAAGATAATTTATACGTCAACATTATGATAACATATCACATAACAAATCATTCAATTTATAGAAGTTCAATGAAAAATATATTGTATACATCAAAGTTTTCTAATTAGAAGTCCATAGATACCTTGAATTTTAATTTTCTTCCAATTTTGACGAGTTCGCAAAATGTAGTATTTATTACTCCCTCCGTTTCAAAATATAAGGCGTTTTAACTAAAAGCACGCCGATTAAGAAAATCTACTTTTTAAAAGTTCAGTCAATCATAAAAGAGACTGCATAATAAAAATAATCATAAAATATTAAAATAATATATAATTTATATAGAAACTTGAAAACGACTTATATTTTGAAACAAAAAAGTTTCTCCAAAAGGCCTTATATTTTGAAACGGAGGGAGTATTAATCAGCAAATATCAATTTTCCAGGCTATTAGTGGATGAAAATTATAGATCCACAAAAACGCTACACTGATGGCTAGTAAAACAAAATAAAATTTAATTTAAAATAAGAACACAACATTTGATTTCGTCATAAAAATTAAATTGAAAGCTCAAGTCAAGCTCCAACTTTTTCTTGTTCCTAATTTTCTTGCCGTAGTGAATAAATCCACAAAGCTCACATCTCTTTGCCACCCTCTCGTGACAATACTAAACATTTCAAATCATTCAATCTAAAAAGAAAAGAAAGAAAACAGTTGAGCCGTCGCGTCCAATATCCCTTTTAGAATGGCCTAGTGTGGCGGCCTCTAGCTCGTCCGCACATAAGAGCGTTCTTTGGTGGTGGATACTCGTCTCGGTACGAAGTAGAGGAAGTGTAAACCCGAAGATAAAATTGTTGCCCTAAATACTGTCTTGCCCAATTCTCTGACCTTATGTTCCACATCCCCACATTATCCAACGCTATGTAGATCGCTGTCCATGCCCTCGGATAAACTTGAACAGTGGACCGTGAAACCGCGTCCCGCAGGTTGTACTTTGATCGGCTTCCGGGTGTCCATTCTCCTCCATCCATTCTGTTATCCAAGGAAATATGAAATACATTCAACATAATACTAAGATCAAATTTCAATGGATCTTAACTTTCTACATTAAAATGGGTAGACATATAAATCAAACTGAAACAACCCAAATCTAAGCCAAAACAAAATGCTTATACCAAAGCCAAATTCAAATATGGTCATAACCTAATAGGTTCTGTTATTAAAAGACCGAACCAAGATCGATACCAGTTAGACCGAATTAAACTAAACTGGATCAACCAAAATGTATTTCTGTAAAAATAGTTATATCTATAAAAATTATGTATACTATAAAGAGATAGACATAATCATATATAACATCATTTAGTATTAGTTGAAGGATGATTTGTTTATATTTTACTATTTTATCTGATCTAAAACCAAATCGAAACCAAACCGAACTAACCAAACTATATACTACTAGCATGGTTTGCTTACATTTTCGAAATACCGATAAACCGAAAACGAACCAAAGCCAAATTTGTTAATCAGATTGCCCATTTTAGTTCCTAATTATAAGATAAATAATATTTCAAGATTTTGATATTATCAATAGTAAGAGAATTGTCTTCTTACCCGACGACGAAGAAAGAGTAACCGGAGACGTGCCAAGACTGGACTGAACTTTCCCAGTTTTGGAAAACAACCTCGATGAATTCTCTAAAGTTAGCGGCCATAACAGAGCTTTGAAGGTACCCTCCGTTTCCACCAGGGGGACTCGTTGGGATGCTTCCAAGGTTAAAAACTCCGGGAATCTTGAAGTAATCGGCGAGCTTCAATGGTGTGTCAGGCGCAACAAACGAGGCACCGTTCACGGCGAACCTTTGCTTGCCGTTGATCCAAGGAGCCGAGTTGGCGAGTATGATCGTACGGCCTGGTTTGATCAAACCGTAGTGATACGAGCCTTGTGGGTTTGGTCTCGGACCACTCGCGGTAAGATTCCTCCTATATATCACATTAATACCCAAACATCAGAAAAATCAAATTTCAAATAAAATCCCCTGTTTTTTAGCGGTTACTTGTACATCAAGAAACATGTTTTTTACCGTATAGTTCGAGCTTGGTAGAGAGAAGATGCAATGTCCAAAGTGGGACCATTTGGAACAGGGCCAGAGACGCCTTTTCTCGAGTTACTGTAATGGAGAATTGAAGTCGTTGTGAGGACTTTTCGCGTGAACCTCGAGGAGATGACGATGTAATAGTCTTGAGGCGCTTGGTTAGCCGTCACGAGAACAGAGTAAGACTGTCCTAAATGAATATCAAGTGAAGTGTAGATGTTTTGAACAGTGTGAGACCCTTCTACTTCAACGAGCTTCATAGTGTGTCCTTGGATTCTGAAGTTTAATGAAGTCGCGACCCCAACGTTTGATATTCTGAATCTATAGGTCTTACCCGGTTGAACGGTGAAGGTATTGCCTCCCCAGCCGCGACCATTGATGAGAACTCCATCAGGATTCGGTAGATTCCTTCCGGCTTCTAACAGACGTCTCAAAACCTTTAAAACCAAAAATATAGTCATATATATCAATAAACCAAATACCTAAAACCAAAACGTAAATCGTTTTGTTTAATTCCTTTTCTTGCGGTTCAAGCAAAGAGATTAGGGCAATAAGGAGTGTACTTACATAGTGATTTGTTTTGTACCAATCTCCGGCGAGAAGCCAGAAGTCACCGTCAGGGGGAGAGAACGGGACGGGGATGCGAGGACGACTCCAAACACGGATGGCTCCAAATGCACCAGCGGCTTTGTGGAAGGCAAGAGAAGGGAAATAGTAGAAGCTACCAATTTGATCTTTGACTTGGATTACATAAGTGAAGTTTTTGCCAGGTGGAATTGGACATGTTGTCCCTACGACTCCATCTTGCCATGAGTTCTTCCTCTGTTGCACTCCGTTCCTAAGAAGAAACAGTCTTCAAAGATTAGGGGTATATATGATCGAATTAAGAGTATGGGGTTAATTATGGATATTCAAATAGATCCGGGAATTAGAAGTTAATTTGAATGACTTCCTTTTGTTTCCCACTGACACTTAAAGCTCACATGTGTCATCGCATGTGACTAGTTTGGACTTTGGATGGATCAAGTGGAATATTTTAATTTTCTTATGGCATATCTATATTAAGATATTATATATTATTGTATGTTTGACAGCCAATCATGTCGGGTGTAAGAAAGAGCTTTTATGACAATAAAGAAAAAGAAATTGACATTCTCAAATGAAATAAAACAAGAAAACTATTTTTCATTTCTTTGTAGCCATTATTTTACTTGAAACACTAGAATGCTAGATTTTATGATTTGTGTTATCAATCCCTTCAGGTTTGACAAATTAAAAGTTGATTAATCCCTAAAGAGTAAAGAAAGACTTTTTGTTCCTTTGAGTTAAGGATCTTATCTCATTGTTATAATTTATAAATACTTCTTTTAAGCACAAAAAAAAAAAAAAAAACTGAAAACATTGATTGTTAATGTTAAGTAGTTCATTTGCTTTAAAACTTCTATTAACGCTACAAGCAAACATACGTTTTTAAAAGCATTAAAATCACCGAGAAAAATTAAAGAGTTCTAAATTTCTGTTTCATGCATCTAGAATTATTGTTCTTTGGAAGAGTATCCATCATTTCTTTTGTGATAATGTGTGAGATGAGAAGTACTCAAAGCACATTTGTCCAATAGCTGCATTCTTTTGGAAAACAAAAACAAAATTCACAAAATCAAAAGTTAAGATCTTATCCTATTTTTTCAATCTCTATTGCTTCTTTCTGTCCAAGAATATTCAACTCTCACGGCAACGCATTATGCCACACTATACGGCAAATAAGTAAAGATTTGTGAAAGAACTTACCAAGAAATGAGGAAAGGCTCTTTCAAGTAATTGAAAACACTAATAATGATATTATCATTTGTGATTGCGTCAATGTGAGGTCCAGGAAACTGCCCATTTATCAATATTCCCTGCATTACACAAAACCCAACCCGAGAAAATGTTATCACAAGATTTCTCGAGAAAACAAACGGAGAAAATGTGAAAAACCAAGAAAGAGAGAAGAAGAAGAAGAAGAAGAAACAGTTGAAAGAACACACCTGTTGTTTAACACCAAGGGGATAAATGTCACCATAAGTGATTTTCCAGGTGAAGAATCTATAAGGGTTATCTCCAAACACACCATTGATTAAAACCAGAAGAAGAACTATAGAGATTTTGCAAGAACCTCTCATTTTTTTTCCACTCTTCCCTGGTTTTCTTTTTTTGGGTTTGGGTTATTGATTTGAGTCTGAGACTGAAGAGAGGTGTAGATCCATATACAGAGGATTTTGGAGAATCTATTAATGATGCCCTCTTAAATATTAGTAGCAGTGGCACCGACGTAACTAATATGTTTTTGTATTGAAGAAATATTTTTTATAAAATATTAAAATGTATATCCTCAAATGTTATCAAAATCATCAAATTTAATTGGTTGAATTGAGAGCTTGATTTGCATTATTAACTATAGGTTTGAACTAAAATTGAAAAACGAAATAAAAAATAAGAGACTTTTTCCTATAAGTCAATGTCATTATTAAATCCTTTCACACTTTACAATATTGTTTGGGAAATTTCGTTTACATGTACAATTTTTTATAAATATTAAAGTGAACATAATGATATTTTTATTTGATTTTTAGCCTAACAAAAAACATTTTTCTTATGAGCTCCATTAGATTGAGAAAGCTAGTATTTAGTTACTTACCCATTCGGTGTAACACCTTGGATTGCAAATTATGTCATAATATTTAGTTACTTAGTTATATACAATAGTAAAAAGAAAAGAAAAAAAATTTCATAAGATTCTCTGTCTTTTTACTCTTTTTAGAGCTCACTCATCAAAAAGTTTATAATTAATTTTATTTAAAAGTGTTTGGGCCTTCTTTGGGTCAAGAGTACATCGACCATTGCTCCGTATTGTCCGCAAGTGAAGGTGTTTTGAAACGCGGCGTGTGAGCTGTCAGGAGGTAAGAATCACGTGTTTCTGTTAAATCTTGTATTGAATCATTTAACCGTCGGATGAATTATTTAGCTGAAGTCAATGCTATTGGACAGTAGAGATTACAGATCAGAGTTATGAAGGTGAGGTGTACCATGGAAATGAAGCGGAAGATACAAGTTTCTGCGATTTCACGTGCTAGAGTACCATTCTGCACCATTCGCAAAGATTGAAGAAAAAGACAAACAAGAAAAATACTGTTTTTGAATTATGATATTATATAGCATAATGGAAATAACCAAAACTCATGTATGTGTGAATGTAAAATGTGGTCATGTTTTGTAATCATAGGTACCATTCGACAAAAAAGTCTGGTTATGTCATCAGCGTGTTCCGAAAATTTCGGTATAAGTAAGTCCTTTGAAAAGTTTCTGATTAATTTGTTTTTTTGATCGTAGTTTTTTTTTTTAAGTTTAAGAATATATGATCCTTTTTTTTTCTTTTTTTATACTATATATGATCCTTGATCCACCTAAGAAGTACAGTGTAATTATTTTAACCAAATGTTTGGTGGACTAGTGACGTTAACTCGATCAAAGTTAAACACTTAAACCTTGTTCGATTTTGTTTAAGAAGAATTATTATCAGAAGCTAGTCTGAGATCCAAAGAGATTAATTATGGATACATACATTATACTACATACCCAAAACTTTCTCGTTAAAAGCCAAAAACAAAAATAACAATTTTTGAAATTATTTTATTTTGAACTCTTATTTTCTTGAGTTGAATATAACAACAAATTATTACAAAGATGTAGTATGAAAAATTAGAGATCGATTTATGTCTAATGCGGTTTATGGGGTTATATCCTGTTGTCGACACTCCAAAACAATGATGTAGTACTTAAGCAAGAATCGATGTCATCTCATGACTCAGACTGGACCATAATCATGAAATAATTAACTGGATTATAAAACACTTTGGACTTAGGAATATTATTGTATTTACGTTTACGTGGAGGAAGGTTCCTCGTTCCTCAATGAATATTATTAATATACATACTGATGCCATGCACCGCTTAGTTATTACGACGGAATCGACGGGATATTCGTTACCAATGATATAGTAGACTAAATGCAATTTTAGATCTCATTCAATGCTATCCACTTGCGTGATATGATCATCTCTAACAGGATTTGAATCAGTCATATGATAACATTAATAAACCATTGGAAACACATGTAATTAATGATCAACTGTTTAATATTTAAGGGCAGCGATACTAAAACTAAAAAGTTTATAACAAACACATGAAACGTAGTAAACAAATCAAACACATGTGGTTCCGTGGTTTGTTCGATTGAATCGACGACTTATCTTAACGACATGTTACCAAAAATAAAATAAAAAATCTATAAAAAATTGTTACAACTCATTTGTTGTAAAATAAAATAAAAAATCTATTTATTTTATTTTTACAACTCATATAAATCAAATTCTACTAACATCAAATTCTATTTAGTATGGTTCGTGATTGGTGTTCAAACAAAAAAGGGATGACTCTTGATTTAGCGGAAAGGAAAAAGTGTTATTTTTTTTTTTTCGGAAAGAAAAAAGTGTTAAAACATGTAAAAAGTATTCTAGAGTGCGATTTCGGTGGCTTACCATTATTTAGCAATGCACTAATGTATACGAATGAACAAAGCATTCATTGGAATGGGCCAATTGATAACCTAATGTATCAGGCCACAATTCACTATGAGGCCATAAGGGCCAGTAATACTCTTTTTGTCTCTCTCGACCTATTCCTAATTATATACGTTTGGTTCTATAGTAGCTAGCCCAAATACAATACAAACTTTTTTTAACCGGCCACTTGGATGTGCAATGACTTGAAAGTGCGAATAAGAGCTTTCTGCAATATATTCTCTATTTTTTTTTTTTTTTTTTTTTTTTTTTTTTTAAAAAACCCTATCGGCTATCCGGTCGGCCCCGGTAGGAACACACCGTGGTGCTACATAGTGGACTAGTCCACCGTGTTAACGGTTAGGCCCTTACGGGCTACCACTCTGCCTATCCCGAGTTTGGAATGCCTTCCGACTAAGTGCCAGGGAGTAGTCAGGCCGCCTGCATTTCTGGCTACCAGGTAAACCAATTGGGCCAAAGCCCAACTGACAGACTTCCCAAACAAATGTGTTTTTGTTTCCAGGGAGAATCGAACTCAAGTTTGGGAGTTTCACCTTTTCCCAAAGCTTCCTCTGCCACTAGACCACATATGCTTGGGCATATTCTCTATTTCTCTCTAAGCCAAGAAATTTACGGCATAAAAATGAAGTCACAATCACAACTGATCATCTTCATGTATGATGTATGTTATCAATTCCTTACTCAAATTCCATATCTTATATATTCAGTGTTTGAGACAATTGGTTTGTTAGAATAAAAAGCAAAATAAACATGTGTTGGCTTAGTTTTATCACATGCATTAGAATGCTTAGGTTGGTGAAGCAAGTATAGAACACGGTCAAGTTGGTGAACTTTCCCATGCTTGTTTATGGATGAAATATGTTTTCATTGATATACTCTATTAATGATCTTTTTTTTTTTTGTCATCACTCTATTAATGATCTTTTGGTTGGAAAATAAAAATTCACGATTTATAAACTGTAATCATTATTTCTGTCCAAAAAATTACTAGCTGTTTATTTCCAATTTTATTTACCAATAATACTTTGGAATATGGTAATCACAATATACACAATAGACGGTCGAATCTGTAATTGAGCTAATTAAATTTAATCTAAATTTATATTTTTCAAAAACAAAAATATTTAACTTAATGATTTGCACTACTATCGTTATTTATTATTGTGCGTATAAATTACTAACAACACAACAACAAAAATTCTAAAAATTGAGATTTCGTGACTGAATTTTTTTTGTAAATGGTTAAGATGTGGTAAATACACTGTATTATAAATTGAATTCAAACAAAATTCTTAAAATTGAAGTGTATAAAATAAGTAAAATAGAAGCTGTCAAAAAAATAAAAATAAATAGAAATAGTACTCTTGAAGATGTATTTAGAATTGTAAAGTGAGAGTAACCTATAGTATTTATACAAAATTACAAATAAATAAAGTTCTAAAAATATTTATACTAAGTAATTAAAAATAGTTTTGGAAGAAACAAAAAACAAAACAGAAATAGGAAAAAGGGTTACTAACGCCAAAAACCCAACCCTTGTCCTGTGTTCTTCATCAGCGCGACAGCGCCGCGTTCTCAAAGTTGCTCTCACAATCAAAAGCTTCTCCGATCTCCAATCATATGTAAGTTTTCTCTCATTCCATTTCCAAGACTCATATAGATCTCAAAGTAGATTCGTATTAAGATGAATCAAGTATATTGATGAACCTAGTCGTTCCCGTAGTCTGAGAGGCTTAGATTTGGAATCGAAATCGATTGTTATCTTTAGGTAACGGAACCCAGTTACGGAATCCTAGCGTTGAGCTTATCAAACCCTAATTTCAGGGGATTAGATCCATTTGCATCACATTTCTGCTTTTGTAAATCAAGAATTAGTCTCCAAAGAGTGTTCTTTTAACAACATTTCAACCAATCTGTGCTTGATTTGTAAGAAATGTTGTGTCAATTTCACTCTCACTATAATATTCTTCTTCACCAAATCTCTCTTTGGCTTCAAAGTTTTTATCTTTTTGCTTCTATGAATCATTATCGTATCATGCCTTTCTTCATTTGATCTCCTCTGCTTTTAGCTAGCAAGAAATGTATAAGTTTAAAGGTTTTTTAACCAAGTTTCATAAGATAAAGTTGAGTTTTTGGATTACATTTACCATTCCTGCTACAATTTTAGAGGTTCTTAACAAATTCTGAGATTGTAGGATACAAATTTAACTGTTGCTGTGTGATATCTTTAAAGAATTGTGGTTTTGGTTATTGCAGAAGTTATGGCTGGGAAAGCTGCAGAAGCTGTGGCGAAGACAGTGACGGGGTTTCAATATCCATGGAGGGCGAAACTCGATAAGTACAGAACCGAGCTGACAAAAGGCGTGTGGGGTTATTGGGAGATGGGAGCATGGAAACCGTTAGGGATAAGCGCAAGAAGGAGGGCGATGCTGAGGAAAGAAGTGTTGACTAATGGAGAAGATTGGCCTTATGATCCAGAGAGGAAAGCTATGAGGACAAAGAGGAAAGGGCATAAATGCGATAGGATTTCGGCTGAGAAAAGAGAGAACACGGCGAAACTTATGCTGAAGATGCCTCAGATGCTGCTTGATTATAAGAAGAGAAGGTGGGAGAAGAAGATGAAGGAAGAAGAGAAAGCTAAAGAAGACAAGTAATTGATTTGTTGAGATCATTACTTTAGTCTTGAGCTGATGAATAATAATCATTTAGTTTGTTGATCTCATGAAATCTGGATTTTGAAATCTTGGGTCTAAGAGCTCAAGTTTGCTTCTGATATGCTTTTTTATGATGTTTTTTTGTTTATGTTTGTTCTTAACAGAACCCAAACGTGGTTGTGGTTAGGATCGGATTCTTTTTAACCAAAGAATAATTTTGTCTGTAAAAAATGGTTTATGAAATATCGGTTCGTGCAATTTCTAGAAGAAATGAAGAGATCGATACGTTTTGTTGATAAATTGATAAGTTTTGTAGATAAATTGATAAGTTAAACTAAATAATAAAATCGTAACAAACGAAAAAAAAAATCTTACATAAAGAAGATCTCAACTTTATTTAGTTAATTCTATTTATATGAACGGATTTTTTTGGATTTTTAGAGAAAAGTAAAAAACACGAGAAAGTATTTATCTAAAAGTTTAACAATCAAACACATCACCATGTTTATATTTTACATATTCGATTAAATTATAATTAGAAAAGTTTGTTAGCTCTAAAATAAAATAAAATCTTATAAAAGAGATTATCAAAACCGTTAAGCGTGTAAAATGTTCTTGAGATAAGTGTGTGTTACATTAATAGAAAAAAAAAAAGAAATTGTTGGGCGAAAGTTGACTAGTTTTCTCTACCACACGACCAAAGTGACGCAAGCAATGATATATAGAAATGCAAATGCCGCCACCTAAAAAAAGACGTCTAGGTTCAATGAACCTAATTTCACCTGCTTCTTTTATAATCCCATTTCTCTCACAAATCTTAACAGAAAACAAAATTTTAAAAACAACAAAAAAAAAAAAACATTAAGAACACATTTTCGAGAGATTTAGTTTGGTGTGAAAATGGCACTAGCAATCAACGTTTCTTCATCTTCTTCTTCTGCGATCTCAAGCTCTAGCTTCCCTTCTTCCGATCTCAAAGGTAACATTTTTATTTTTGATTCCAATTCAGAACTCAATTTCAATCCCAAATTCGTGGAGAATCTTATAAATGGCTTCATGGGTCATTATGTAAATAGGAATCTAATTCAATTTGGTGTTTGATTCTTCAATACAGTACCACAAATCGGATCATTGAGGTTATTGGATCGTATCAATGTCTCTGCGGCGTCTCTGAGTTTATCCGGGAAGAGATCCTCCGTGAAAGCTCTAAATGTGCAATCAATTACAAAGGAATCCATTGTTGCTTCTGGTAAGTTCTGGTTTGATCTTGGTTGATTTCGTTTGTTGAAAAACTTTAATTATGTTTTATGCTAATGATCTTGTGCTTTACTACAAAACAGAGCTTACAGAGAAGCTAGATGTCGTGGAAGTTGAAGACTTTGAGGAACTAGCAAAGAGATTAGAGAATGCTTCTCCTCTTGAGATCATGGATAAAGCTCTTGAGAAGTTTGGGAATGACATTGCAATTGCCTTTAGGTAATGAATTGATCTGAGAATTTGATAAAGGAATGATTTTTGTGTTTTTCTTTTAGTTTGCTGATTTGGAGATTTGTTGTTTTGTTTGGTTTTTCAGTGGAGCTGAAGATGTTGCTCTGATTGAGTATGCTCATTTAACTGGAAGACCTTATAGGGTTTTCAGTTTGGATACAGGGAGATTGAATCCGGAAACATACAGACTCTTCGATACCGTGGAGAAGCATTACGGTATTCGGATTGAGTATATGTTTCCTGATGCTGTTGAGGTTCAAGCCTTGGTTAGGAACAAGGGTTTGTTCTCTTTCTATGAAGATGGTCACCAGGAGTGCTGCCGTATTAGAAAGGTGAGACCTTTGAGGCGTGCTTTGAAGGGCTTACGTGCTTGGATCACTGGTCAGAGAAAAGATCAATCGCCTGGGACAAGATCGGAGATTCCGGTTGTTCAGGTTGATCCAGTGTTTGAAGGATTAGATGGTGGAGTTGGTAGTTTGGTGAAGTGGAATCCGGTTGCGAATGTTGAAGGGAATGATGTTTGGAATTTCTTGAGGACTATGGATGTTCCTGTCAACACGCTTCATGCTGCTGGTTATGTTTCAATCGGATGTGAGCCATGTACGAGAGCAGTTTTGCCGGGTCAGCATGAGAGAGAAGGGAGATGGTGGTGGGAAGATGCTAAGGCTAAAGAGTGTGGACTTCACAAAGGGAATATCAAGGAGAATACCAATGGAAACGCAACTGCTAATGTCAACGGGACATCCACGGTGGCGGATATTTTCAACAGCGAGAATGTTGTGAACTTGAGCAGGCAAGGGATTGAGAATTTGATGAAGTTAGAGAACCGGAAAGAGGCTTGGATCGTTGTGCTTTATGCACCGTGGTGCCCGTTTTGTCAGGCAATGGAAGCTTCATTTGATGAATTGGCAGATAAGCTCGGCGGAAATGGCGTGAAGGTTGCTAAGTTTAGAGCTGATGGTGACCAGAAGGACTTTGCCAAAAAGGAGTTGCAGCTTGGAAGCTTTCCAACAATACTTGTGTTCCCAAAGAACTCTTCGAGACCAATCAAGTATCCATCAGAGAAAAGAGATGTTGATTCCTTGACATCTTTCTTTAATCTTGTTCGGTAAATCCGTTAAAAATCCGCCGACTTTATGATGAGAAAAAGAGATCAATAAAAGATCTCTCAGTCTCGTTCCAGAATGCTAGAACAGATTGAAGCAGGTCAAGATGAGAATCTCTATTGGAGCTTTAGCTTTTTGTATAGCTGTAGTTAAAATAATTACACCAAGGTTTTGCCTTTTGTGATTTTATTTTTACCAATCTTCAGTGTATTACTCTTTTTTGCCTTTGTGATGGATATGAACAAGTTTTCCAAGATGGATTCCTTTGAAATGAAAGTGACTCATTAGCCCCAAAATCAATGTTATTGAGTAAAATCACCAAAAGCAAAAGACAGTAAGAAAAAGGAAACGTTTCTGACGATTGGTAAACCCAAAGGGAAAGAGATTCAAACATCCAAAGCAAAGTTAAAAAGCCAGAGAAAAGAAGGAAGCAATGTAAATTTTATCTTCCTGATTTATCTATGTACATCGAAGTCATCGAAAAGATCGATTCTTATTCAAGCAACGGTAAAGAATCCAAAAGTGTTCTCTCCACTGTAAGTCATGTAGAGGAACCCATCTTCATCTTTGTGTTCTTCATAGATTGCAGACATCAATGCAGCTGTTAAGAAACAAGCGAAACCAAGTTAGAGGTAAAGAACAAAACTTTGATCTTGAATGGTGTTAAAGAGTTTAAAACCTTTACCAGTTGGAGGCAATGTGTTCTTAACAAAGACAAAGATAGCTTTCTCTGCTCCAAGCTTGATTCTTTTGCGAACCACATATACAAATTGTCCCACTGTTAGATCTGCTGGTACAAGATACCTAAAAGAAAGTAGAAGAAACATAAGTTATCAAGATTATGGTATAGGGAAAAAGAGAGATAAATCAAACCCATTACTCACTTCTTCTTGTCAATGTCAGGAACATCACTTTGTCCAGCCTTTTCCACAATCACCTACATACAATCCAAGATTCTAAATTAGAACAATGCTTAACTAAATTTAGTAAAAAGAAGTTAATCAACTCAAGAACTCGCGAGCTTACCGGAATTCTGTCAGGGTACTTCTCTCTGATTCGAGAAGATTCACTCATTCTTGCCTCTGATTAACAAAACATAACCAAAAGATTAATCACAAGTAAAGCATTAAACAGAAATATCATGAAACCTAACAGCTTAATTAGGCTTGGCTTAGTTTAATTACTACTGCTTAGAACAAACACAGAGAAACGAACAACAAAGGAAGAATCAAAATCATATGCAGAGATTAAATCCGATCCCAAAATCAAAACTAGACACGATCTGAAGCAAGACATAGCAAGAGAATCGAAATAAATATTCAGAATTCAGAAACTCAACAAAATTAAGAATCAAGTAATTGAAAATTCGATTACGCAAAAGCTAAAGAAATTCGATGAGAAAGGGATTGAAGTAACAAACCGAGAGGGTTAGAGATCTTGAAGGAACTCTTAGCCATGACGATTCGATTAGTCTCTGCAAATTTCAAGCAAGCAAATATCATAATTATAACACGATCGTCTGATAGATCGGGGAGAAAAAAAAAACCCAGAAAACCCTAAAAGATGTCCAATTTATTGGTGAGAAGAAACATACCCGAAGAAGAAACTGAATGCGATTCGTTGGAAAATTAGGGTTTGCTGAGAAGAAATTGATTTTGATAGAAACTGGAGAAAGAGAAAGGGGAATTAAAGTGTATTTAAATTAAATAAGAAAGTAATAATTAAGTAATAATTTAGTTAGGGTTTTTTAATGGTTGCCTACACGGAACTGTTTTGGAATCAGTAAACCACTTGGATTATTATTTGTTGATTGGATTACAAGAAATCTTTTACACTTGTCTTAACGTCACCACCATCGCTTTATTATTCAAAGGTTTTTGGGTCGTTTTGGGCCGAAGTGGGCCTGCATATAGGCTTTTGCTGTATATAACTAAGTTTACGTAGTGTAATTTTTTTATTTTAACGTTTTTACTGATTGGATTACTGATTACAAAAGGTTTACAAACTCTTGAGTAAGAGTAATAATTTGTTGTTCGTTGTACTAGTTTATTCAATTTATCTACAAATTAACTGAATTTTTGTGCCATCACCGTAAAATAAATTTTGTTTTGGAAGCTAATGACTTGTTGTTATCATACTAAACTTTTTATATTTTCGAAAGAGTATATTTGTTATAAAAAAAATTATCATGAACCGTTGCTAGGAAAGCTGAGTGAGATGAATAGACGAATAACCGAACTGAATTTAGCTCACATTATTAAACCGAACTAAATTTCGTTTATAGTGTGATTGGTACTATTTCTATATTGAACAAATCCAAAAAAAAAAAAAAAAAATCCAACGAAACTTGACATTTTTTGTTTGTCGGCAATTCAAATTACCAACTTGAATAAACTGAAATTTATCAAAACAAAGTATTTGTTTTTACTTATACATCTTGAAAATAAATTTTACTATAGTAAATTAATTAAGAATATTATTATGTATAATTTGAACGAATCGAAACCAAATTCAAATCCAACTTTTTCAATTCCAATTTGGTTGAAGAATATCCTTTTGTGCAAAATTTAAATCTACACACCGAAATAGATAACAGATACATATACCCATTCCCCTAGTAACACCATCCCTAGTTGCTATAACATTGAAAAGTGAAAGCTAATGAGCAATATGGCACGAGTCCTTAACCTTGTGTCGGACCAAAAATGTTTAACATTATTCGCAACATTTTCCTCTCTTAATCGAGCCCAAAAATAGCGAAGAGATCGAGAGTGGTTTCAAATTTCTCACATTCAAAGGTTCCAAAGTATATGCCATTTTTGTTTTTTCTAAATTATCATTTAAGCTACTACTAAAGAGTTAGAGACCATTGAGAACTACAAACACAACACAAGAAAAATGATATGGGCCCATGCATGGGATTGACAAGTCATCCTCATCGTCATCATACTTATCTAAAAAATCCAAATACCTAACAACAACAACAAAAAGGAAAGAGAACTCAACCATATTGGTAGTGTCATGATTCCCTACATGGTGATAACGACAATAACATTGATATTTAATAAAAATCATGTGGATACCATAAAGTTTTAGGGGTTTTTTCATGATAATGATATGGTATGGTGTTATAAAGGGTTTTGTGTAAATGTGATATTGATCATCCACCCATGCTCCATGCCATGCCATAACTATGGTGGTGATGTTGTTGATGAAGATGTGATATTCGATTCCAAGAAACCAGTTCTTCTCAAGATAGCATTTCTTGTTTTGCTGAGATCTCTTCCTTTGAGTGTTCTTCCGATTCCTTCACACATAGAGAATGATGAGATCTGCGTTCTTGCAAGCCTTTTTGCTACCAATTCATGTGGAGGAACCATTGAGCCTTCATCATCATCATCATCAATGGCCCACGAATGCAAGTGGCTCCTTGTGTTCTTCTTTGAAAACCCATAAACCTTGGACCAGTCAGGAATATTCATTGGAGCAGAAGACTGTTTTACCCCTCCAGAGACCTCGTTGCCCTTAGGAATGTACCGTGCAGAAGATGAAGAAGAGGCTGAGAAGAGATTGTTACTTTTGGACATTTTCATTTCAGGACCTGAAGTTTCACTTTCTCTTAAAACTGACCACACTTCATCTTCTTGAAACTCTTCTCCCCCTTCCATTGTCACTCAACAAAACCCTTTCAATATATGCTTCTTCTGCTTCAACTAAGTGATTTTCTTCCTCCTGAATCCATGAAAATAGTATCACATCATTTTATCTAAAACCCAAAATAAAAGAGAAGAGACAGAGTGATGGGAGAGAAAAGAGAGAAAGGGAGAGAGAGAATTTATTACCTGAGAGACGCAGAGGAAGATTCAGTGAAAATGTGATATTGTATAAAAATGTGAACCATAAACAACATTAAACAATCTCTCTTTGCTGGCAAATGAGAGACAGAGAGGTCATTGATTGCTTCAAAGGAATCAAAAGCCTCCACAATAGGCAGAGGTTTCAGAAACCTCCAAAACTGTAATAATTTCGTACTTTTTTTTGGGGTGCCATAACTATGAATTAAATTTTCTATAAAAAAAACAAAATAATTAAAAGGGTTAGATAGAGGAGTGGTAGCCTTTGGTACTATTTCTACCAAGACCTGCCAAAATTATTGATAGAGTTGATTCATGCAAGAAGACAAAAACAATGTACTATATTGAAAAGACTTGCTTTATCTTAAATTATGAGTTTGCCTAAGCCCTTTTCAAATTACACTTTCTAATCTTTTTTGGCTATAATTATAGATATTGTTATAGTGTGAAGAGGACAATCTAAATTGATTGTCTCAAAAGGCTTGTGATATTAATATTATTGTCCTTCATTAAAATTTGGTTTGATCAAGTGGTTTTTGAACAACCAAGGATGTGTAGTTATGTAGTAAATGGTTTTTCTTTTTCTATCACTATGTATAATTATTGAAAAGATGTGTTCTGCGAAAATTAGTGTAGCAATTAATTTGTATATTTATCACAAAAAATATCTGAATCCCGTGTCCGTACACACATAAATACATGAGACTTTCTGGTGGGGTAAGAATCAAATCGATTTGTAATTTCTGAAAAGAAAAATAAGTAATTTGTTAGGCTATCCAATCCAATCCAACATTTCATGGGTCTCATCATCGCAAGGGTCTAGGGACGTTATTCCAAAGCATGATGCATTAAAATATGTAGTAACTTTTATACAAGACCTCTAATTTTCAGAGGTTTCTTATTTCACCCCTCGAAATTTATAAAACACAAATACGTACCTACTCTAAAATGTAAAGAACTAGTGACCATAATAATTGTAAAGAACCTCAAAATTATCAGTCAAGCTTAAGAAAAAAATCTTACGAATATCTTGTTCATGCTGAAAGTACAAAAATTGTTGGAACAAAATCGATGTATAAGCGGAATTAATCGTTTGATATATGACTAACGGGTAACTTTGGCAGTATGATGTTGTTGTATCTTTAAAATCAGTTGGAAATGAGAGAATGAAAGTGCATAAGATGTTGGGATAAGAGATGATATGGAATAAGATAGGCGGATTAAAAATAAGATGTTTACAAAAAATATAACTCGTCATATGAAATTAGAGATGGAGAGATGTTTTGGAAAGGATTTTTTTTTTTTAATTTGTATCTCATTAAATCTAGGACGGTACATTTCATAGCTATGGGTACGAGGAAAGTATGTGCTAGGGGTAACTGAAAATTTATTTTTATAGGTTTGGTCTTTAAGCGAACAAGCAAACCAAGTTCATTAATTATAACACAAGTATAGTGTATTACAATCGAGTTGGTTCTAACTTCTAAGAATTTATGTAGTTAGAAAATAAGTCAGTGTGGAACTAAGAAATTGTCTTAGTGTTGAGTGATATGATCGAGTGTAGTCTGTAAAAATGGCTTAACACATTTTTAATTAAATATTTCCAGACTTGGGATTGCCAAATTAAATGTTATGGACTTTGTGTGCGCTGATCGCTATATTTCTTTATATCGAAAGATATATCTAGTGGATACCACAATAGGTGCAACTTCATTTGTTCCTAATTGTGATATCTTAAAAAAATAATGAAATTTGTGTGATTCATTGTATACACACTAAATTATGTTAAAGAGTCTCAATTATTCACTTTTTCGTAGACCTTGTAAAATAACAAGTAACTCTAAATCTTTCCGGGCAAACGAGATAAATCCCATGCATTTCAAGAATCTCTCCTGTGTTATTAATTAACTTGACGTTTGCCATAATAAACTCTGTTCAGATCATAGTCATCGAGAATCTCAACAGGGTCTTGCTCAAACTGCAAAATCGGTGAGAAATCAGTTGTTTGCGTCCGAGCCGGTTTCTTTATTAGAATGTCCCACATTGCTTGGGATTAAGATCTTTGGGTAGTATATAAAGGATGTGGCAATCCTTAACTCTTGAGCTAGCTTTTGGGTTAAGTTAGACCACATTCCTAATATGGTATCAGAGCCCAAGGTTGGCCCAACAAGCAAATTCCCACAAAAATGGTTTCCCACAAAAATGGTTTCCCACCTATGTGGCCCATATAAGTGGCATGTCTTGTTGTATTTCCGAGATGTTGGGCTTGGGCTGTTTCCCGTTGGACCGTTTTCCACCCACATCTCGAGGAGGCCTATTAATGTCCCACATTGCTTGGGATTAAGATCTTTGGGTAGTATATAAAGGATGTGACAATCCTTAACTCTTGAGCTAGCTTTTGGGTTAAGTTAGGCCACATTCCTAATATTCTCTTTCAAGTTTTAATTTCCCTTCTTTAGTCGTTAACCCAAGCAATTGGTCTCGCGGAATTTCCATCGATGTCACAGATCTCTCTCCATTTGGGTGAGTGAGGAAATACCTTGTGAGCCACGGGATCGGATTGGCCACAAAAGACACAAACTTTATAACACATAAGAGAAGCTCCACTTTATATCTTTAATAATCGGTTTCTTCTGTTACATGGTGTTAACTACATCCACAACATTGGCTCACTGGATTTTTGTGATGGGCTTTTATAGGGCCTTAGAGGCCCATACTACTCAAATTTAAAAACCCTTTCATAGCAAAAAAATAAACCCCTTATATGATTTCGTTGGTTTATGTTGAGATTTGTGTGTTTGGGACCTTTGGGTGGTTTTCTCTTATCTCTCTCTTAAGAGGTAAGTGTTTTCTTTAAACTTGTACTTTTTCTCGCACTTGATTACAAGAGCAAACATACAATAGTTATAACAGAAGAAAACCAACAACTTCTACTTA